AGGTGCCCTTCCTCAGGAAGCCTTCTGAACCTACTTCTGTCCCATACCAAACTATACTATGTTGTCATTGTCTAGGTGTCTCTTCCCTCTAGACTTGAGCTCCCTGATAGGACAAGATACAACTCATTCCTGTATCCCACCAAGGTTCAGCACAAGGCCTAACCGACCATGGGCAGGACAAATCTTGCTGAATGAATAAGATGGTATTTGAGCTAGTTATGAAAAGGAAAGCAAGATCTGAACAGCTGGATGTAGGGAAATGGTATATATAGAGAAGGAAATGTTAGTAAAAGCAAATAAATGGGACCGAGGATAAAGACCAGTAATTTTGAAATTATGACAGAATGTGTATAACATGTTTTCATTGTTGTTATGCAGATTTTCTTTTCCTTACAAGAATGGGATAATACTACAAACCATGTTCTGCAACTTGGTTTTTTCCTTTTTTTTTAAATGTTTATTTATTTTTGAGAGAGAGAGAGAGACAGAGCCTGAGTGGTGGAGGGCAGAGAGAGAGGGAGACACGGAATCCAAAGCAGGCTCCAGGCTCTGAGTTGTCAACACAGAGCCCGACGTGGGGCTCGAACTCACAAACCGTGAGATCATGACCTGAGCCTAAGTCAGACACTTAACTGACTGAGCCACCCAAGCACTCCAACTTGCTTTTTTTCTTATAGCGATAAGTCTTGGAGATACTTTCATGCCAGTATATAGAGATGTATCTTTTTCTTTTGATCTGTAAGAGTATGGGTGAATACAATAGGATGGGTGAATCATGAAAGAAAAGCTGTTCTCTTGTGGACGGCCATGTAGGTTGTTTTAATGTTTTGCTATAATAAACAATGCTGCAATGAACATCTTTGTGTATGTCTGGAAGCAGTTTTGAAGAATAGGTTCCTAAAAGTTGAATTGGTGGGCCAAAGGAATGCACATTTTGTTTAAAATGTAGATAAAACTTATTTCTGTTGCTTTAACATCTTTATAGACTGGCTAAAAATAAAGATTAGTCCTACTCACATAATCCAGCCTTTATTTTGAGAAGCATACATCATACAACCTTTTCATTAAGAGTTGGTTGAGAATAGCTAAATTATGGAAAGAGCCTAAATGTCCATCAACTGACGAATGGATAAAGAAATTGTGGCTTATATACACAATGGAATACTACGTGGCAATGAGAAAGAATGAAATATGGCCTTTTGTAGCAACATGGATGGAACTGGAGAGTGTTATGCTAAGTGAAATAAGTAATACAGAGAAGGACAGATTCCATATGTTTTCACTCCTATGTGGATCCTGAGAAACTTAACAGAAGACCATGGGGGAGGGGAAGGAAAAAAAATGGTTAGAGAGGGAGGGAGCCAAAACATAAGAGACTCCTAAAAACTGAGAACAAACTGAGGGTTTATGGGGGGTGGGAGGGAGGGGTGGGTGGGTGATGGGTATTGAGGAGGGCCCCTGTTGGGATGAGCACTGGGTGTTGTATGGAAACCAATTTGACAATAAATTTCATAAAAAAAAAAAAAAAGAGTTGGTTGAGAATGCTATCCTAAAAGGGCATGTGATAAAGAGTCGCACAGTATGGTTTATGCCATAGACATGGTTCTCAGGTTGGAAGTATACCCACATTTAAGATTGGGGGTGGGAGGGGCAACTGACAAATTGGTGCCATAAAAAATGGTACCAATTTGCATTCCAATCACGGAACATGAGAGATTCTGTTTCCTCACTGGAAACAGTGTTTCTGTTTCCTCAATCTTTTAAATTTTGGCACTTTAAAATTGGTACTTTGTTCTTGTTTTAGTTATTTTCTCATTCATCAGCTAATGGATATCTATTCTCTGAATTGCCAAATCATGTAATTTCTCTATTCTAAAAGATGGTATACATCTTTTTCTTATTGATTTCCAGGAGATGATTTATATATAAACAGAGATCTTAACCTTTGCCTGATGTTTATGTACCAAATCCTTTTTCCTAGGCTGTTATGTTTTAATTTTGTGTATAGTCTCTTTCTCTACACAGAAGTTCTCAACTTTAATGTAGTCAAAATTATTGTTCTTTACTTTATGGCTTCTGGGTTCTTAAGTCATGCTCAGAAAAGCTTCTCCATCCTACTATGATAAAAATATTCTGTATTGTCTTCTGATACTTTTGCAGTTTTATCCTTTGTATTTGATTTTATGTGAGACAGAGGTTTAACTTAGTTTTTTCCCAAATGGTAGCCAATAGTCCCATCCCATTTACTGACTCCCTACTAATTTGAAATGTGTTTTTTAATCATAAATTATATTCCCATATGAATATTTGGTTTTGTTTCTAAACTCTCTATTTTGTTCCCTGTATGTAATTCTCTATTTCTGTGATGATATAAGATTGTAATTTCTGCAGCTTTATGGTAATCTTGTATAAGTTCCCCCTCATTGTTCTTCTTTTTCAAAATTTTCTTAGTTATTCATGGGCATTTACTCTTCTAAATGAGCTTTAAAATCCAATTGCCCAATTCCCAAAGAAAATACCACTGAAATTTTAGTGAGAAATGCATTGAAACTTTTGATCAGATTGAGGAAAAAACTGTCATTTTTACTATATTCAATCTTCGCATCCAGGAACAGGATAGGATCGTTGACTATTCAAGTCTTCTTACAGCCTTTGATGAAATTTTCTAGTTTTCTATGGAGAAGTATTTCATGTTTCTTGTCAATTCCTAGTAATTTTATCATTTTGTCTTACTATTGTGAATGGAATCTATTTCTATTATGTCTTCTAATTAGTTATTGTTGCTATTCAGAGAAGCTAATGGTTTGGGTATATATTTATCTTGTATCTAGCCATCTCACTGAATTTTCTTATTAGTTCTAATAATTTTCCCTTTTATTCTCTTTGATTATCTAAGTAGACAACCATATCATCTCCAAATAGTGCTAATTCTGACTCTTTCTTTCTAATATTTATACCACTTATTTCTGTTTTTAATCCTACTGGTTAAAAGTTTTAGAAAAAAATGTTGATGGGGCACCTGGGTGGCTCAGTGGGTTAAGCGTCTGACTCTTGGTTTCGGCTCAGATCATGATCTCAGGGTTCATGAGTTCAAACCCCACATTAGGCTCAGCGCTGATAGCGCGGGCCTGCTTGGGAATCTCTTTCTCTCCCTCTCTCTCTGCCCCTGCCCTGCTCGTGCTCACTCACTTTCTCTCTCTAGTATAAATAAATTAAATTTAAAAAAAACTTCTAGGAAAAAATGTTGGTTAGTGACAGTGATAGCAGTCATACTTATTTTGTTCCTGAGGTTAATAGGAATTTACCTAGTAGTTCACTATTAAATTTGGTGATTATCTTTGGTTTCTGATAAAAAATTATTTATCAAAATAAGGATGTTTTCACTGACAGCTTACTGTACTAGTTATCTATGGCTGTGTAACAAATCATACCAATACAAGTAAGAAATAACTAGGACACTTACTAAGAGTTTTAAAACCAAGAACAGATACATAATTCTATCAGATTATTTTTTCAGCATTTATGTAGATAGTTATACATTCTTTTTACTTTAATCTATTAATGTAATCCATTAAAATAACAGTTTTCCTAATGTTTAACAATCCCTGCACTGCTGGGACAAACTTTCATTTGTCACGATATGTTCTTCTTTCCATACACTGATGGATTCAGTTTGATAATCTTTTATTTAAAAAATGTATGACTATTGAAATGTGAGATTGGGCTATAGTTCGTTCTCTCTCTCTCTCCTTCTCTAAACCTATCCAGTTATACTAGTTTTCTGGAATGAAGTGGAGCTGCCCATCTTTTTCCATTATCTGATCTTTCCAGATTCAATAAAACTTCCATCATACCACCACTTCCGTAATACCAGTTGGGTCCTGGTACCATTTCTGAGGAGAAAACTTTGACCATATTTTTAACTTCTTCTATATTGTTCTATTCTATTCAAGTTTTCTGTCACTCCTTAAGTCATTTTGGTAATTTATATTTTCCTAGAAAACCACCCATTTCACCTATATTTTCACATGTATTGGTATAAAATTATACAGAGCATCTTTTATGACTTTTTTCATCTCTTCAAAATCTGTGGTTAAATCCCCTTCATCATACCTTATTTTATTTATGTTTCTTCTTGCTTTTTACTCAGTCATATCTGCCAGAGAATAGTCTGTCTAGTTTGCTGGTCTTTTCAAAAACCACCTCTTAGTTTATCAAATCTTTTGTTTTCTATTTCATTAATTTCTGGTTTTATCTATAGTAATTACTTTATTCTGCTTTCATTTGGTTGTTATTTTTCTAAATTTTTGAGTGGGATAATTTGTTTAATTTAAACTGTTGTGTTCCCTAATAAAAACATTTAAGACTCTACATTTTCTTCTGGGAACCCCCATGGTCACATCCCATAGGTTTTGATATACAGTATTCCCATTGACCTTTATTCTAAAGAGTCTATAATTGATATTTATCTTAAATAGTCTATAAATTGCATTCTTATTCCTCTTTCACACAAGTGTTTTTTTAAACTTTCAAATGGGTCTTTTTTTTTTTTTTGCTGTTGCTATATTTCATTTTATTGCCTTATAATTAGAAAATGTAAAATGTGATTTCTCATTAACTTGGAAATAATGTTCTCAAAGGTGTGGGTGATTGTTTCCTCTGCCTAAACATCCTTCTCCATCCTATCCAACTGGCAAACTCTTACTCATCCTTCAAAACAGCTCAAATATTACATATTGTAGAACCAACCACTCCCGCCTTTGGGAATGGGAACGTCTATCTGCGGAAGGATTTTTAAGGAAGCATAAACTACAAACAGAATCTGAATCTCCTCTTTGGTCTCCTACCTGGTCTCCCAGTCACTCTTCTCACATGCTCAGACATTCATTCCACAATCACTCAGGGGGGCTAGAGGGAGATGGGGGAGAGGGTCTGGCAATGCTATTGCAGATTTGTCTGGAAGGGTGAAGGATGAGGGGAAGGATGGGTCTAGCTCTTACCTGCTCTCTGCCAGCCTGCCTGAGGGGGTAAGCTTCATGGAGTCAAGGACCTGAGTAGGACAGCAATACTGGTGTAGAGTATGAGACGCTGTGGACCTGAGAGACAGCAAGAGACAGAGAGAGAGAGAGACAGAGACAGAGAGACAGAGAGACAGAGAAAGAGACAGGGAGGGAAGGGAGAGGCCGGGTGGGGAGTAGGGATGAGGAAGTGAGAAGGGGAAAGGGAAGACTGGGAAGAATGGGTGGTGGAGGATTGGGAATGAAGAGGAAGGGTGGGAGGTGGGGAGGCAGGGAAGAAGGGAGAGAAGGGAGAGAGGGAAGGGAGGAAGGGAGGAAGGAAGGAAGGGAGGAAGGAAGGAGGGAAAGAGAGGAAGGAGGGAGGGAAGGAGGGGAAGGAAGGAAGGAAGGAAGGAAGGAAGGAAGGAAGGAAGGAAGGAAGGAAGGAAGAAAAAAAGAAAAAAAAACACAAAGTCAAGAAAGAGAGGACGGCACTCGAACCACAAACAGAACACAACGACAACAGGGGGCAGCAGAGACAAAAGAGCCAGTCTGGGCCTCCTGTGTTCCAGGTGACTCCGTGGGGACCTAAGCCACGGAGACACTGGGACACCACAGCAGGGAAGGGGGAAGGGAGCCCTCCTCACACCAGACGCCACACAGGTAGGAAAGAGGGAAGGGGAGAGGGGATGAAAGAGAAAGGGAAAAGATATATGGGGGGCTCCCCCTTATAGAAGACCCCTTACAAGGAGGGAGGAAGGCATGGAGGGAGAGGAGACTCTGGATCCAAAGAGGGGGAAGAACCCAGGCCAGGTGGGTGGAGGAAACACTGTAGGAGGAGAGGGAGAGGGACAGAGAGAAACTGAAAGAGACACGGAAAGGGTAAGACAGAAAAGGAGAAAGACAGAGAAAGAGGAAGACAGAGGAATGGTGAGACAAAAGACACAGAGAGAGGACAGGGAGAGGCAGAGAGTGCCAGAGCAAAGGAGAGGAGAGGCGAGGGCGGGAGGAGAGCTGCCAAGGTCTCAGTGGCCTAAGTGACGGATGGGACTGGGGCTGAGTGGGTGGGTGGAGCCCAGTGAGCCAGAGGACAGGGTGGTTCCCAGTAGGAGTCTTTGCTTCCAAGGCCAGTGCTGTGCCCCTAGCCCAGGACACGGCCCACACTCCACCCCCCCCAGCGCTGTACCCCCACCCCTAGCACAGGGTCCAAAGGCCCCTGTACCTCCTGCTTCCCATGATTAAACTCCAGAGAATGGGCCTGGGGGAGGAGGGACAGTAGGGTAGTGAGGCTGAGGGCCTGGTCTACCCTGAGCAGGGCAGGTGCTGGGAGTGGAACTGGCCCTTCCAGGTCAGCCAGCCCCTCTCCCCCACATGCCCCTGAAGGCAGATTGTGGTCATGGCCTGGCCATTCCAAAGCCCAAGTAAAGGCCAGGAGATGTGGCTGCAGGCCAGGCCAGCTGCCCAGCATCTCACTTGTGATTCTGAGGATGCCCAAATCTTAGATCCTTATAGAGAATCTTGGAATCTGAGCCTGTTCTTGTCAGAGACTCTGGAATAAGCATCATCATCAGAATGACTGTCTCTCAAGTGCCATCTATGTGCCAGTCACCAGCCCCAGTCCTTGACTCATTATCTCATTAAATCTGAGACACAGAGACCCTTAGGCTGCTGGAATGTTAGTATCAGAGAATCTCAGCGGCTATGGGGGAGCCCTGCAGTGCTGAGCCAGGCTAGCATGCCAAAGCAGCCACTAGTTACACCCCTCATAGGCCATGGACTGTGTTGCTCAGGGCTCCAGAGTCCTCACAGTGCGGGGGGCACCCCGATGCCCATGCGCTCACCCTCTCTCGCTAGCTCCCTCCCCAAGCCAAAGGCCTCCAAGAGTCCAAGAGGGGAGCCAGGAACCAGGAAGCCAGGAGGCTGCTGAATCAGCAGCCCAAGGACCAAGTCCAGGCCGGGGCAGGGAAGGAGGGGGTCAGGCTGCAGGGTCGGGGGTGGGGGGGCTAGGTTCCTACCTGCTACTCCTCCCGGAGGGCTCCATGGGTCTGGACCTGTCCCGAGGGCAGGCCCCCTAGCCGGGCGGTGCCTCCACTGTGTCACCACCCCCTCCTCCCAGCCCTTCCCTAGAAGGAGGAACCAAGGAGGCGGGGCCAGGCCAGCTGGGCTGTTGGCCAGACTGCAACTGGAAACTTTGCTCCTTCCCCTGCTCCCTCAGGAGGGCTGGGAACTCCAAGTAAGGGGAAGCAGTTTTGAGAACTCACAGTGACTCCTCTGGGCCAAACCCCATGCTAGGCTCCCCATGTGCATCTCTGCTGGAATCTCCCCCAAGAACCCTGTCAAGTGTGTGTCACTAGCCCTATTCTCCGGACAAGAAAACTCAGATGGAGAGACATTAAGTAATTCAGTACCGGTACTACAAAATGGCAGAACCCCAAGATCGAGACCTAGTTTGACCATTCCCCAGATCTGGATCGGTCCCCTCGGCCATATTGCTGGCTTGTGAGTACAGAAACTTTTCCACAGAAGCTTTTCACATTCTCATCTTCTGCATAATTAGAGACCATGTTTTGTTGTTGTGCCTGGATGCTGCAGATCAAGTAATATTCAAATCACCCATTTGGGGAAATCAAGGCAAGACCCTGGCCAGTATGCTTGACTACTGCAATAAGCTTGCATTCTCCTGTGTATGTTTCCCAGGACTGGCTACGAGAAATGCTCCCTGAAGAGAAAAGCAAAAATCAGAAGAAACACCATTCTCCATCAAGAGGCTCTTCTTCCAAGGAAACTGCCCTGCCTGACTTTACAGATGGGGAAATTGAGGCCTAGAGAGGGGAAGAGTCTTGCTAATGTTCACACAGCCAGTCAGACTAGAATCCAGATGCCCTGACTCCCCACCTACTCATCACAGGAATCTCTCTCTCTCTCTCCTTCCTTTGGATGAGGCTGGAGAAAGGAAAGAATTTGGAGGGTTGGAAGGATGGGGGATTCCTGAAGAGTCCCACAGATCCAGCTCAGAGTGCTCTTGTCCTTTCACAGCCCCAGAGCCCAGGCCCCTGGCTGTTCTGAGCAGAAGGCGGCCCTGGGAGGGGCCAGGGGGGCAATGATCTAGAAGGAATAGGAACTGACAGGCAACAGGCCAGCCTTCCTGCCTTCCTGCCTCCCTGCTGGGGCAGCTGGTTCCTCTCAAGAAAGCCAAAGCCGTTGAGAGAGATAGGCCCTCCGGACCACCGCAAAGTTGGCATCTGCAGGCCCTTTGTGGTCTCTTCTCCCTCTTCCTACCCTCTAAAGACCCTGGTCCCCAGAGCTCTGGCCTTGATCCCTGCTTTTTTCTCTCTCCTTGAGCAACTCTCCTAGCTCCTGCAGCCGCTGTGCTCTGTGCCCATTTGCAGTTACTGCCCTAATGGCTGCACCTCTGGCCCAGACCTTCCTCTTGGCCTGGTAGGAGTTGAGAGACAGAAATTCTAGTCCTGGCCATAAGGCTGATGTTGTGGCCCTTGGGCAAGCTCCTTCTCCTGTGTTAAGGCCAAGATCCCACACCTGGGTGCCTGGTAGAGCAAGTACAAGTCCCAGCTCTACCACTTTCCAGCTGGATAACGCTTCTGAGGCTCAGTTACCTTATCTCTAAAAGACAAGTGGCAATTTCTACCTCATGGGTTCTTGTGATGATTCAGTGAAACAAATGCGCATCTACGGTGTAGAGTCAGCTTGAGCCTAAAGGAGTCTGACACGTCTCCCAAGAAGACAGGGGAGACCCACGGGAAGCCTATTTGTTTCAGGGATGGGGAGGATTCTAGGAAAATATCTCTGAGCCACTCCTGGAATTCAGACATATCTGAGACTGTTGGGTAGATTCATGTGATGACCCACCAGGGGCTGAAAGGAAGAAGGAATTAATGGTGAGCAGCTTGACCCAGCCACAGGGCACCAGAGGCCTTCATTCACTTATTCAACAGATCCTGTGGACCTGGCACTGGGCCAGGGGCCTGATACAGCAGGGGCTCAGGGCAGTCAATGTCCTGATCTCATGGAGCTCATATCCAAGTGAGAGGAGACAGACATTCAACAGCTAATGGAATTAAGCTGGGCAAAAAGAGGAGGCAGCAGGAGAGAGTGTTCCAGGCAAGGGAAACAATTTGGGCAAACGATCTGAGGTGATATTTCCAGGAACTGCAAGAAGGCCAATGCAGCTGAGTGGAAAAAGCAAAGGGGAGAGAGGTGAGACTGGAGATGTAGGCAGGGTTCTAATCACACAGAGCCTCGGAGGCCACAATAAAGTTTTGGTATTTATACAAAGAGCAGTTTGGCAGCCTGTGGTTCATGTACAGGCACTGGGGGAGGGGAAGTGCCTCAAAGCCCCTGAAGTTGTATGGAAAATATTAATGAGTAACAGCATGTTTGGGGGGAAAGTGTAGCTTTCATCAGATCCTCACATGGGTTTATGATCCCAAAAGAGCAGGGAAGCTCCTTATATGATTCCATTCGCTAAGCGCCCACCATGAGCTAGTGGCAGGCCTCCTAGAACCTTCTCTGAGCTGACTCCTACCCCCCCCCCCTCCCCAGCTAGACTCAGCCTTCCCCTGCCCCTGATCCTCAACCAGTGCTCCACCCAGACAGGAGTGCTTACATTCTTTGCCACACTGCTGTCCCAGCCTCATCTTTGCCTCTGCTCAAAAATCCATTCCCACCACCCACCCCCACTGCCACCTCCCCACCTCACTAGCTCCCCCTAGTTCCTCACAAGTCAGCTTACAGGTTGTGCCCCCTGGAACAGGCCCTGGCCCCTTCCCTGTTTCCTTCCCACCCTGCACTTGTCTCAGCCTTGTCTGTCCACAAGCTGATTCTCCCTCTGGGCCAGGAGCTCTGTGGGGACAGGGGTGCTGCCTTATTTATCCCAGTGTCCCCAGAATCCAGCACAGGGCACCCAGACACACAGGTCAGCACATGGTGGTGGTGGTAGACAATCCACACTGAGGTGGAGGCTGCAAGATGGGCTGGTGGACACTAGAGGGCACTGTGGTCACTAGAATCCTGGCCTAATGCTGCCCAGGCTGACCCACAGTGGGTACCAGGACCAGGTGCGCCTGGAAGCAAGGAAACTG